TGTTTGGTGAGGGGTGTAGGACTCCTTCGAGTTTATGTATGTCCGGCAAGAGTATTGTACTCGGACCTGAGATTGTGCAAGAGGCAACCGGAAGGACCTAAGAAAGGACGTGTTTTGAGGGTCACGATAGTAACTGGTGTGGGTTGAGCTTGAGGTCTCGAGAGTACCCACTGTACTTTATTGATTTGTATCAGAGTGGCGCATCGGAAGCATGGAGAAAATAGCATGTTAGACTATTTTACCGCCGTCACTTATGGAAATTACATGATGTGTTCATGTGTCTCAGTTGGGGAAGTACACTGATTCAGAAGGATGGTGTGCAAGTGAGAGACAATCCGATTGTGGAGACATTGCTAAGTTCAGGTGGGTGAATGAGAAGAAACTTCGAGGTAAAGGGATTCCTTTGGCGGAATTAGTTGGGAGATTGGGATGCAAGAGTCGTATCCAGAGTTATTCGAGTTGGATAACATTTTCGAGGACGAGAATTCCTAAGTGGGGGAGAGTTGTAACAACCCAATTTTCAATAATTGATTAATGGTACTAGTTAATTGGTTTGTATGATTTAAGTGAATTATTGGATTTAACCGATTTATTCTATTTGGTAGAATAATGGGGAATTACTAGATAATCTCTAATTCAAGATGAGGTGGGATATTTTATGAGAAAATGAATTGGTAAATATTTTGAGAGAAGGAATATATTGGAGAGAAATAGGAGGGAAAGATATATAAGAGAAAGTGGGAGGGAAAATGTAAAATAGAAAACATGAGAGAAAGATAGAGGGAGAAGAGAAAGTAGAAGGAAAAAGAAGGGAAAGCTTGGAAAGCTCAAGAACGACTTCTAGCTTCTGATCAATCGAGGTAAGGGTGTGAAATATTGTTATCTTACCAATGTATGTGTTTATGTATGGATTATTTGGTTGTTTTTTCTCATTTTCCATTCTAGGGCATAAATGAGTTTAGTCAGTAGAAACCGAGTTTAACGGTTAACAATAAGGATAAGTGGTAGAGTTTAGTCGAGGAATATTGGGCTAAGGCTACTAGAACGAGTTGGGTTTGAATCGGTTGTATTTTGATGAGTTTCAGAGTTTTGGACAGTGGAGAATTCTGAGTTCGCAGACCCTCGCTAGCTCGTTCGCTAGGCGAGCAGGTCGCGAGCATTCGCTTTGGCGAGCCAGTATCGAACGGTCCCAGACTTGGACAATATGGTTTTGGTGTTCTTCGCTGGTAGCGAAGGGGGTGGCGAGCGTTCGCTAGGCCTTTGCTGAGCGAGTGAGGTAGCGAATCAAGTCAGTGGCTTCTGTTTGCCTTCGCGAGCATGCTCGCTAGGCGAACAGGTAGCGAGCACTCGCTAGGCGAGCAAGGTAGCGAGCATGACAACATGTTGTTTCTTGTGTTTTCCATCCAATGGTTAATTGTTTCGTTCAATGATGTTAATCCTTATATAACGAGAATAGTTTGTGTATTATTGAGATAAGACGTGTTGTGGGTAGCCTTATGGCGTGAATCCTAGATTGTGAAGTATGGCCTTTTGGCAATTATATGCATTGTTTGAATTAAACACGAATGCATGATGTATGTGATTGAGTTCGTTGCAGTTGGCACGACCTTGTGTTTGTATATTGATTTTATGTGATAAGGTGTGAAGAATGCATGAGAATATATGTATGATAATGATGTTGAGAATATGTAAGCGTGCGAGATTCTTACTCACTGGGGTAGAATGACAAGGTGTCGTTCCTAGTGTAGTAATCACCGGGGTAGAATAACTGTGATGTTGTTCCTGGTGGGGTATAAGCGATGTACCCATAACCCAAATGAGGATTTGCGAGAGTTGATAAGTTTATATGAGTCATATGGTATGTGTATGTGATTGTGGTATGAAAGTGTAAGATGTGGCCGTGTGACAATTATGTGTATAATTGTATGTACTTGTGGGAGGTGTAATGCGTAATTATATATATGTGTGAATATGTATACATTTCAAGAGTGTGTGGAGTCGTTTTGCATGTGAATCATCATGATTGCATTCTTATGTCTTGATCCCGTGGAGAATCTACAGAAACCTCGTGTACCCTTGTGGGGTGTGAGCGATGGTTTATTCTTGATCCCGTGGAGGATCTGCAGAAACCTCGTGTGCCCTTGTGGGGTGTGAGCGATGGTTTATTCTTGATCCCGTGGAGGATCTGCATAAACCTCGTGTGCCCTTGTGGGGTGTGAGCGATGGTTTATTCTTGATCCCGTGAGGATCTGCAGAAACGATCGTGTGCCCTTGTGGGGTGTGAGCAATCCTGAAACATCGTGTGCCCATGCGGGGTGTGAGCGATGGGTGAACATCATAGGCCCGACGGGGAGTTACTTCGATAACGAGCGATGGTTCCTTTTGGTTTTTCAATTGAACCTGCTGAATGAGTCGGTACCGCATTTGCATCTGCATAGAGTCGTGAGTCGGTCTCTATGATTTGCATTATCATCTTTATATGATGCATTGGTGAAATAAACATGAATATAGATGTTTATGTGAATTGGTGGAATAAACATGTTGTGTGTGTGTGTATGTGAATTGATGAATGTATTTAATTAGGTAAACGTATGTTGTGACATATATGACATTTATAGTGTATTGTGGTGAGAAAATGTGGAACATATGTATTTTGTATTTGTGCATTTATATATGATTATATGCATTGTTATTATGATAATATTTCTCACCCTTCTGCTGGAATGATGTCTTTCATGATATCGTGCAGGTATCAAGGTGTAGTACTGCTCGTAGTTGCAAGGTCGCTATTGGTGTAGATGTTTAGTGATTTAGTTGTATTGGGTCGAGTTGTGCTCTGGTCTTGTAACACTGGGATCGTTTGGGTTACGTTTCAGACGTATATTGTGTTGTTGGCCTCAGTGCCTAAGTGATGTTGATTTATGTGATAAATGCAAATATTTCTTTTATGAAAAATTGTGATATAAATGAATCCGCTGCTACATGCAAATGAAATTTTGTAAAGTATGATTATTTATTTCAGTGTTATTGAGCATGACAGATTGTTTTAGTAATTTGGAAGTATATGTGTGACGCCCTTTGTGAATGCATGTTAATTTTACTCTGATGATGCTTATATTTTCCGTGGGGTTTAGAAGGGTGTTACAAGTCCTGCTATAGGTACATCTACCCTCAATTTAAATTTGAATTAAGATATTATAATATATCTTACTTTGCAAAATGTGCATACAAGAGATGAAGAATTCTAACCCTACAAATTCTAGGTTTGTTGTTGATTCTACCACCTCAAAAACCCTTATTCAATCTTAATCAAGGAACCAACCATGCCACTTCAACTCACCTGTTATTGCTACTTCCTTACAAGGAACCCCTTGTCCCCAAGACTTTCACCCTGTTGAAGTAATTCCAAACGCATGATCAAGTAACCAATAATGTCGCTTTAATTCAACAATTCTTGTTACTTCCTTACAAGGCACCCCTTGTCCCAAGGCCTTCACACAGTCAAATAAATCCCAAACGCACACTTGTTGAAACCCAAGATTTACCAACACGATCCACCGTCTCACGCTACTCCCTTGCAAGACACCCGTTGTCCCAAGGCTTTCACTTGATCGGATTTGAATTGCTTAATCTTGTCCAAAATCTTCAAATGCTCAACGATCTTGAAGGAAAACCCCAATTCGGTTTTCTTATTTGAAATCCTCAAAGTTTTTAACCCAATATTCTCGGTACAACAACCTAATTGGAGATTATCAACCTTAATCTAGATGGTCACTCAATCAAAAAATAATTATGTATAGTTTCATTGTGTGTATGCATAGAAGAGAGGTTGAAGATGATGATAATATTTTGAAATCCTGATTTCGCATAGGTTTTACTCACTAGAAACCTTACTAGAAGTGATGCATGTATCAAGTATTTATAAGTATGCAAATTTAGAAGCTAAAGGAATGCAAAAGGATGAAGAAAATTATGAATTTTTGAAAGAATGCATCGCACGTGTCGACATATGAAAGCAAATGTTTTGACCTATCAAGGTCTTATGTTGACCTATAAAGGTCTTGTGTCAACCTCGTGTTGACCTATTTTAGTCAGCACATGGACAATAACTACAAACTTCATTATTAAGGCATGTGTGTCGACCTGAATAATCTATGTCTATACCTATGCCGAAGAGCAAACTTCTATAGGTCGATTTAAATACGTATGTGTCGACCTATGCTATAGTGTTTTCAAAAAAAACCTTGTTTTCAATGCATTTATGATGTATGAACCTTTTCCAAAATATTTTGATGCTTCCTAATGCTAAGATGCACATATAGAATCAGATGATACCGTCCAGGATACATTAACGCTAAAGTGTCCTCGTTTTAACATCATTCAAAATACATCAACTTAGAAAATTAATTAAAAAACATGATCATTTTTATAAAAAAAATTCAATATGCAACCATATTCAGATGGATTAAAAAAAATCAAATGACCAAATTAGAGTGTGACATTTCCTAATTACTTCCTACCTACGATGTGTCAGGTAAGACATGTAACCTAAGGACCAAGGTATGACATGTTATTTCTAGACTTAGACGTGACATTCTTTTGGTAACCATGTGAAGAGATCATGATTCATTTGTAAGTATTATTTCAATTTTTTTTTATAGATTCGAGTCAATCGATTTTGTATAAGAAAGAAATTAAAATTGTTTGAATTCAAAATAAAAATATTAATTTTGTAAATGAAGTAAAATAGAGGAGTTATAATTGGAATTAAATTTAAATAGTATGAAAGAACATAAACTAATAAACAAATAAATTTATCGAATTTTTATCTAAATTAGTTTTTACAGAATATGTAATAAAATTATAAATATTAACAATTCGAAGAAAAATGAGAAATGAAAAACAAGAGAATATCAGAAGCGAAGTAAGAGAAGGGTTTTAACTAGGGTTCAAGGCACCGCCATTTTCTTCACTTTTCTTTCAGCTTCGTTTTCGCAACCATGTGGGCTCTTCGTCGAGCTTCGTTACCGGCGCTTAGGTAACTGTCTCTTCTTCCCTCTCTCATCATCATTTCCAACGCAACTTCTTCATCATCATCATCATCTCATTTTCGTGTTTTTATTTTTCATTTTGAAGTATTCTCTACTTTGAATTTCATATTAGGTTTTGTATTTGTTAATATTTGAATCCGAATCATTTGTTTTTGTTTATGTGTATGTGTAGGAAGAGAGGTTTTAATGTAAGGTTTTCCTGTGTGAATTTAACTTCAAGTACTTGGGTTGAAAATGAATCTGGAATTGATGATTCTCGTCGAATAATTAATGGTGATGGCGGATTTTCGTTGCGGAATAGATGTTATCATTCTGGAGAGGGTTCTCTGAAATTTACTACTGGTAGACGTGAGCTTTCGTCGGAAGCCGGTGCGAGTAGCACCAAAGATGAGGAAGATGATTTGGAGGAGGGGTTTTCGGAGTTGGAGACGTCTGCGGGTGATGAAAGTGAAAAACTGTCGGGTTCTGATACAGAACTGTCTGATGAGAGTGATGAAGTGGATATTGAGGAACCACACAATGAGCTGGACTTACCATTATCGCATGACGAGGATGTTATTTTGATGGAGAAGAAGTCTAGCCGGAGAAAGGCTGAGTCGGAACTCTTCAAGGCGATTATGGAGGCTCCGGGTTTGTCTATTCATAAGGCTCTGGATAAGTGGGTTGAAGAGGGGAAAGAAATGAGCAGAGAGGAGATATCGCTGGCTATGGTTAATCTTCGGAAGCGGAAGATGTATGGGAGAGCTTTGCAGGTAATTGGATCAAATTTATGTTGTTTCTGTGTTATACATTTTCTATGTTTTAAGTTTTGTGCTAATATAAATAAATAAATATAATTTTGTTACTTGTATTTTTAGATGACTGATGATTCATGTTTGTTTCTTATTATACCTTCTGGTAATATGAAATTTTTGGAACTCAATTGTATTTGTAGTAAACTAATGCTATTGTTTAATGTCATGATGTGCGTGTTTAACATTTGAATCCTTTGTGCTTAAATTGTATTTTTGACTTCCATTTATTTTGCATAAGCTGGAAAAGAGAAGAGGGAGAGAACATATTTAACTAATAATTTTTGAATGGTTGTGGCTGTGTTTATATAAAACACTAATATTGGTTAAGTGCTAGTTTTTTCATTTAGCACAAGGCATGAGCTAACACCCCTCTTAAGCTAAACAAGACAAAATTTGTTTCAATTAAGCACTGCCAAATAGAATCAAAGAAACACAGCAACCTAGATGTACACAGGGATTAAAAGCCAACACATGCTAACAACGAAACTCAGGGAAAGAGGTTCTAGTTAACCTCAACGGAGGTCAAAAAAGGTTGAGGAAGGTCTGGAAGGTGGCGGAGTTTTTGACAACTGCCATTGCCAATTTGTGAAGGATGATGGCACCATGGCATTTTATAGGAAATATGGTGGCTTAAAATGGCAGATTTTTGGCTTTCCGCCATGGTATACCATCAGCAATCGGTAACACTGGACACAATTCAAACAAAGCACTGCTGACGGTGCTGCTTTGTTACTGTATTGAGTTTATAGCTTAGCATGGAAAGGAGCCAACAGAGAATATATTTCACCAATAGGAAGCTGAGTAGCTCTGGTGTTGTGTTGGTGTAACGTGTGTTAATATAAAAAACTAACATGAGATATTACATGTTGGTAGGCCACATACTGACACTTTTATTTCTCTCATGTGTGACTGTGTATTGTGGTGTTTGCTCATAATGTTGCTAACATGGTCGAGTTTGTTTTTGCAGAGATCTCCAAAACCATTTTATTTCTGGCCACAATTGCACTTGTGGACAACAATTGGAAAACACTGCTGTTTTTTTTTTCTTTTCAATTTTACGTGATGATGTTTCCCAGTGCAATCTTATCTATAATTATTTTTTGTTGATTTTGCAGCTCTCAGAGTGGGTTGAGTCGAAAAATCATCTTCAATTTGTTGAAAAGGATTATGCTTCCCGACTTGATTTAATTGCCAAATTGCATGGCCTTTATAAGGCAGAAGTTTACATCCAGAGTATTCCAGAATCTTCTAGAGGGGAGACAATATACCGAACTTTATTAGCTAACTGTGTTATTCAGAACAATTTGAAGAAAGGAGAGGAAATTTTTAATAAAATGAAGGAATTAGAGTTTCCTCTTACAGCATTTGCATGCAATCAGTTGCTAATTCTGTATAAGAGGAATGACAGAAAGAAAATAGCTGATGTTTTATTGCTGATGGAACACGAGAAGGTCAAACCTTCTCCTCTGACTTTCAAAATCCTAATAGACGCAAAAGGCCAGTCCAACGATATTGCTGGAATGGAACAGATTGTTGATAAAATGAAGGCTGAGGGTATTGAACCAGACATTCAAACAAATGCAGTTTTGGTAGGGCATTACATATCAGCTGCGCTTGTTGATAAAGCTAAAACTATATTGAAGGAGATAGAAGGTGAAAACTTGAAAGAAAATCGATGGGCATGTCGAATTTTGCTTAATCTCTATGCAGACTTGGGAATGGCCGATGAAGTGGAAAGAGTTTGGAAGGTCTGCGAGACGCGCCCTTGGATTGAGGAGTGTTTGTCTGCAATTGAAGCCTGGGGGAAGTTGAAGAAAATTGATGAAGCAGAGTCAGTTTTTGAGATGATGTCAAAAAGATGGAAGCTTACATCTAAGAATTGCTCAGTACTACTGAAGGTTTACGCAAAGCACAACATGCTAGTGAAGGGCAAGGATCTTGTTAAGCGAATGGCAGATAATGGATGTCTAATAGGTCCGTTGACTTGGGATGCATTAGTGAAACTTTATGTTCAAGCAGGGGAAGTGGAGAAGGCAGATAGTATTCTGCAGAAGGCAATCCAACAGAGTAAGATGAAGCCGTTGTTTTCTTCCTATATCGCTATTCTGGAGCAGTATTCTAAGAGAGGCGACATCCATAATTCGGAAAAGATTTTCTATAGAATGAAACTAGCTGGTTATGCATCTCGAATTAGGCAGTACCATGTTCTTATAGAGGCCTACATAAATGCCAAAGTTCCAGCTTATGGAATTAGGGACAGGTTGAAGGCTGATAATATATATTCCAACAAAACTTTGTCTCACATGTTGACTCAAGTTGATGGTTTTAGAAAGAGTCCAGTTTCCGAGTTGCTTGATTGAAAAGATTAACAGATCCTTCTGCAAAAAGGTTGTTTCTACGGATAACTATGCTACTATTGTTAGTTTAATAGTAGGTTTTGACATGTTTGATTTGAATGTTTTATATAATCATGTTTGAAAAACTCAAGAACAAGTATGCACCTTGTTACTGCATATATTGTTACTTATCTCTTGCCATTTGGTTGCTTGATGATATCAATTGTGCTCTATTGAAGGATTCTAAAACATACTCAATTGAAGGATTCTAAATAATTTATAAAAAATAACATCTGAATTAGTTCTATTTGAATGAAATGTACTGACAGGATTCTAAATAATTTATAATAATATCCAATTATGCACTGATCATTGTTTGATGAATCTAAAACATAACTATTGGATGTTAGAAAAAGTTTGACTTTTAGTTTAATCATTAATGAAGTAATACTAACGAATGATGATAACTAATAGCGTAAAACCTTTTCAATTAGAGTGTATAGTAATTATTCTCAATTTTTTTATACATATTTTCTTTTTATAATAAATATATTTTATTCAGTTAAGATGGTTAATTATTTAAAAATATTAGTCTTTTTTTTCTTTTCAAAATTGAATAGTATGGTCAAAGGGATTCAAACCCCCCTGACCTATACCATCGGAACCACATTGTTTTTATGATTTGCAATGGAGTTAATTTGTGATTGATACAAAAGAACTGACTCCTTTAAATAACTTATTTATTTTTCTTAGATTATTACCATATTGTTACACCATGCATATATAACGCTAGCTTTAAAATATACTTTATGAAATCAGTGATGAGATATATATATTTATGAACACTTGAACTTTGTAGAATCTTGTAAAAGAGAAGAAATTCCCCATCTTCAGCTTCTTTCCGTACTTCCTCAGTTGCCTCTTACTTTTCATAATATTTTCCACCATTTTATTCTTGTTTTCCAGAATTTAAATAACATCTGAATATAGGATTTGCACAATATTGGATAAATCCCACAAATTGTCTCCAATACCAAAGACTTGGCCTTGGTTCCTTGCTTCTCATGTTTATTTATCTCATTGTTTGTTTCTCAATAACTTCAAGTAATTCTGCTTAGTTCCAAATATCAATCTAAGCTACAATGTTTACTATATGGCAAAAACTACATCAATTTGTTAGTTTGTGAGAAATCATTAAATTAGAATTTTAAGATATTGCTTTATATTAATATCCTCTTCAATTATTCTATCAATAAAACTACTCAAATTAGCTAAAAACTATGGCCATTTGCATCAACAAATAATGTGCCCTCACTAATCATCAGCAGATATGATGAACTGCATAAAGTCTCGTCTAGTTAGTGTGTATATGCATCAATTATCAATATAGCCTCGTCTAGTCATCAATCAATATATATAAGGGTCAAAAGATCACTAACAATTTTACACTTTTATGTGAAGGAGGGCTTTGTCATCTTTTCTATTAAACTAGATTTATATATCTCAAATAATTTATATGGATTTTTTTATTGCACCTTATATATTTCTATCTTACTGTGCAAAATTTCACAAATATCTTTTATTTTCGGAGATACATCTCCGGACGTACTTCATTTTAAATACACTTTAATATATTTCAGAGATATATCTTCGGAACAATTTAAAACTTTAAATATCCAGAACATGTCACCTATAACTCATTTACATTTGAATTATTTCGGAGATACATTTATGAGAATATTTCGGAGATACATCTCCGAAGTGTATCAGAACAAGTTTTTTTTATAATGAGTTGTGTATTTGTTTTAAAATGAAAAAATAGACGTACAAATTAATAAAGGATCAATATTGCGTATGTCGAAAATAACATAACAATTTAATAGTAAAATGCCGTATAACATGAGATCCAAAATTTAGTAGCAATGTCAAAAATAAAGTACAAACTATAATACAACATCAAAATAATAACAAACTACTACTGAGTGTGTCTGACAACCTCTCCTCTACCTCCTCTGCCTCCTCGCCCATCAACCCCCCGTCCTCCATTGATGTTGCTGATACAACAGTTCCCCATATGCTTTCGTCATCATGGCATCCAAGACTCGCCTGACAACAGACCCCTCAAAGAAGATACCCTCGTCAATGTCTGCCTGCACAATCTCAACTATCCGAAGACACCAAGGCAAGACATCCTCAGTATGATCTAACCGAGCCTGCCCCTCCTCTAGAATCTTCTGATGAGTTGGTCTCGACGGATCTCCTGGAACAATCTACACCGTGTACGGATGTGAGATCCTGAAGAACCACTTGATGTATTTGTTGACGTAGCTTCAGTCGTTCAGCGCTATGGTAGCCTGAGCCTCGTTCGGTACCAGGTGACTCTGAAAATCAGCAAGCATCTCCTCTACCTGTCTACGAGATAAGGTAGGAGGAACAAAGATAACAGGGTGTCTGGGATGGTCTAGGTGTACCCAAACTACCGCATAACGTACTCGGGTAGATGAGGAGCAGTGATACGTGATTCACAAGCCAACCATCCAGAGTATATAGCTATGTCATCAAATGGTTGCCTCTGGCGGTGATCCACGTAGTTGTTGAAATGCATGTCCTCAGCAACCAATGGTCAAGGTAGACTCTGAAAGGCTCGACCGCCTGGTTCTCTCTCAATGAGATAAAAGCACAGGGACGAGGCATGTCCTCAGTGTACTTATCCACACTCACCCAACCAGCGATGTGCGGGAAGTGCTGGAGGATCCAAGCTTGAAATGAAAATAAAAAGAAAAAAAATCAAGGATCAAGAATTATCTGCATTGGTTTCGCAAATAAGAAATGAAAATGAAAAAAAAAGTATCAAGAATTGTTACCACCAAGTGATTGATTATCAAATGTTTTTTCCCTGTTTCCTTTCCAACTATCAACTTTGTTGGAGGCCTAGCTTATAAAATATATCTTGGTAGAAAAATGTTAAGGAAGAAACACTTTGATAGGGTAGGGAGAATGCGGTTTGAAAAATAACCTAGACAAGTGTACCCAGGAAGGCAGGGCGAAGTTAAAGAATATGGAGGTAAGGATGGATGATTTGAATGTGCTTGCAGAGGGAGTGGCTGCTCATGTGTGTATTCAGCAATAAGAGGTGGATGGTTTGGAAAATTTGCTTGAGAAAGCTTAGAGCGCTCTTAAAAGCACGAAGGAGCAAGTCTCTCAGCTTACATACGACACTGTGGCGGCCTCTGTTTACCACTCCGAGAAGGCAGGGAAGTGGGTAGTCCTCCGCTATCCCCATATGGACTTAAGCCCCTTGGAACCTTTTAAGGTGGGTTTGGACGGGGTGTTGGCGGACAAAGAATTATTTCTTTTCCTTTTCTCATTTTTTTCTATAATCTTGTTAACCACTAAAGGAGATTTTATAATCATTTGGAACAGCGGTGTCCCTCTGGGGGCGTCTTTTATGATAATCGTCTTTATAGTTTTTTGGTGTTGTTTTACATCCATTGTTGTGACTGTTTTTGAGACGATTAGAATCTTATTTCTAAGGGGTATGTTATTTTTACTTGTCTTTATGAGCAAAAAGGATTCCATCTTGTGGGATCCAACATATATACTTGCATCTATAGGCGACAAGAATCATACCTTCAGGGATCCAACATATACAATTGCCTCTTTGGGGCGACAAAAATCATACCTTCAGGGATCCAAAATATACAATTGCCTCTTTGGGGCGACAAGGATCCCATCTTGGGGACCCAACGTATATAATTACCTCTACATATGACAAGGATCCTATTTTGGGGACCCATCATATATATTTTCCTCCATGGACACCAAGGATCCTACCTTAGGGGATCCAACATATATACTTGCCTCTATAGGTGTCAAGGATCCCACCTTGGGGGGTCTAACTAACTTTATACTTGCCTCTATGAGAGACAAAGATCCTACGTTGGGGGATCCAACATATACAATTTCCTCTTAAGGGTAGCAGGCGTCCCATCTTGGGGACCCAACGTATATAATTACCTCTAAGGGTGAAAAATATCCCATCATGGGGACCTAACGTATATAATTGCCTCTAAGGGCAGTAAGGATCCCATCTTAGGGACCCAACGTATATAATTGCATCTAAGGGCGACAAGGATCTCACCTCAGGGAATGCAGCTAATTTTCTCTATCGGTGACAAGGATCCTACTTTGGGGAGTCCAACGTGGTAATTTCCTTTATTTAGAGGCTTTCTCGTGATCTTGGATTTTCTGCAAATATGTGATATAGAAAATAGATATAAATAAATAGGCATGAGATGCCTCATTAAAAGCTCTCTCTCCCCTTGAAGGGGTAGAGCGAAAGGAGTTCACCTCAACTAATTTCCTCTATGGGCGACAGGGATCCCACTTTAGGGAATCCAACGTAGTAATTTTCTTTATTGAGAGGCTTTCTCGCGAGCTTGGATTTTCTACAAATATGTGACATATCAAATAGATATAAATAAATAATCATGAGATGCCTCATTAAAAGCCCTTTCTCCCCTTGAAGGCGCATAGGGAAAATAGTGTACCTCAACTAATATCTTGTCCTTACAATCGGTAGAGTTTTAATACTCACTTATGAAAAATGTCAACTAATTAGACAAACAACAAAAGAGAAGACAACTACATAAATGAATAACAAAAATGGAATGACTACATAAATACTTTTAGATAAAAAGGAAGCATCCCCTTGCTTTCAAGCTTCATCGTCTTGTGAGGTCATATGGGAAGGTTTCTTGCTCTCGCCTGTGTCACCTGGCAGAGTTATCTCATGGATAGCCTTCTCTTTGGGATCAATACATAGTCTCTCGAAGGCGTCCCAATACAATATTTTGGCGGAGCTTTCCTAGTCTACTGGAACTTTTTTTATCCCTCATTCTTCGTATTTGACAGTGATGAGCATGCGATGAACATTGTAAGGGTGGACGTCGAACGCATCTTCTTCTAAGAAGACAATCACGACTTCTGACACTTTCATACTCTTGACCTCAGGGAGGTTTTCT